AAAGAGCTTTCTGTGTCTATGGTGACTATATCTTCTGAAAATACAAATATCTGGCCATTTATCATCTCTCACATCTCTACTCTCAGACACTGTGGGCTCTATGGTGAATTTCCAATAGGTATATTCCGCCTACCAAATTTACAATCTCTTAGTGTGAGCTCTAATCCAAATCTACATGGTTCATTGCCTGAATTTAAACCAAAGTAGTCCCCTTAAGCGTTTGGGACTTCATGGCACAAGCTTTTCTGGTAAAATACCAGATTCAATTGGAAAACTTACGTCTTTGTTTTTGTTGGATCTCAGTGACTGTGTTTTCACAGGCCAAATCCCTCCTTCATTTTCCAATCTAACCAGACTCAGTGCTCTGTCACTTTCAAACAATAACTTCAGCGGCAAAGCATTATCTTGGTGTTGTAAGTTAACCTCACTCACCCAGTTGTTCCTTGAGGCCAACAACATGTATGGTGGCATCCATCTTGTCTTGGGAACCTGACTCGACTAACTAGTTAGTTCTTTCTGATAATCGATTGAATGGTGGGATTCCATTGTGGCTGGGGAACCTCACTCAACTAACTTGGCTATGCTTTGGTGACAATAAGTTCCACGGTCCAATTCCACAATCAATTTCACACTCAGTAATCTTAGAACTCTTGTTCTATACAACAATTACTTGAGTGGGGTAGTGGAAGCCAATATGTTTCTTAAGCTTAAAGATCTTAGTGATTTTCAATTGTCAAACAACCAATTATCAGTGCTCACTAGTGACGATCCCAACTTCACTCTTCCAAAGTTCAAAATTTTAGGATTAGAGAAATGTAATTTAACTGAATTCCCAAAGTTCTTACAATATCAAGATGAATTGGAGGTGTTGTTCCTCGATGATAACAAAATTCATGGTCTTATCCCCAAATGGATAAGGAATATGGGCCAAAAAACTTTGGTAAATATAGGCTTAGCTTTCAACTCTCTAACGGGATTTGAACAACTTCCAACTGTCCTTCCATGGGAGAGTCTACGAGCTTTAGACCTCGAGTCTAACCGGCTTCAAGGATCGCTCCCAATTCCACCATTCTCCATCATTACTTATCAAGTGTCAAATAATTTCCTAACCGGAGATATTCCATTGTCAGTCTGCAATGCAACCTTTGTTGAACTCCTTGACCTCTCAAATAATAGCTTGAGTGGAAGCATTCCCCAATGCTTAATCAATGATTTCCTAATGGTGTTGAATTTGCAGAGCAACAATTTTCATGGCAGTATTCCTCAGGTGTACAACAAAGGAAGCCGTTTGAAAGTGATTGATTTAAGTGAAAATAAATTAGATGGGCCGGTACCGAGATCTTTGGCCAATTGCACAATGTTAGAGTTTCTCAATCTGGGAAACAATCAAATCAACGATATTTTTCCCTTTTGGTTGGGAACGCTTCCAGAATTGAAGATTCTTCTTCTCAAATTTAATTGGTTTCAAGGAACCATAGTCAGTTACCTATCAAATTTTGATTTCCCCAACTTGTGCATCATTGACCTTTCATTCAATGGTTTTACAGGTGAGTTGCCATCAAAATACTTCAAGAACTGGAATGCCACAAAAATTCATGATGTTGGCAAGTCATTATATTTTCAAGAAGTGAATACTTATGCAGTGTCGGGCATTAACTTTAGCCTCCGTTTCACATTTTCAATGACAATGAGAAACAAAGGACTTGAAATTCCTTATATCCAGATCCTAACCAAATTTGTAGCCATTGACCTATCAAGCAACAAATTCAATGGAGAAATTCCAGAATCCATTGGAAATCTCAAGGGGCTTCAATTGCTCAACCTTTCCAACAATGGTTTCACAGGTAGCATGCCATCATCCTTAGGGAACTTGAGGGATCTTGAGGCTTTGGATGTTTCTCAGAACGAGCTCTCAGGAGAGATCCCTCAACAATTGGTGCAACTAACGTTCCTTTCATTCTTGAATGTCTCTCATAACCACCTCACAGGGGCTATACCACAAGGGAATCAATTTGATAGATTTGAGAATAATTCATTTGATGGGAACCCAGAATTGTGTGGAGGCCCTTTGTCAAAGAAATGTGGAAGTTCTGAGGTACGATTGCCACCTCCACCTGTAACCCTTGAGAATGGCAATTCAAACTTCCCAAGTAAGTTTGATTGGATTTTCATATGTATGGGATATGGAAGTGGGCTAGTAGTTGGGTTGGTGATTGGGCACATTTTGACCACCTGTAACCATGAATGGTTTGTGGAAACTTTTGCAAGGAGGCAACCGAAGAGAAGGAAGAAGAAGAGGGCGCAAAGAGGTTGAAGTTGAGAATGAATGCATAAAGTTGGGTTTTTCTAGTGAAGTTCAGGGAAAAAATTTCATATTTGCCCTAATGCTATGATATCAGTAACTACCCGAAAGTGACAATGTACGTGCTTTTGTAACTTATGCTTGCTTCTCTGTAGTACACTTGAACATTCTCTTTTTCTCTTCTATGGGGGTTAAGGCTTTTAAGCCTACCCTTAGTATGTATTTAGTTTCTTTCATGTGGTTTTTTTTTTAATTTTTGTGCCCAAATATACACAATGCCTTCGTACTTAACCCACACCAATGCATATGTTCACGTATGCCCATTACAATAGAAGGAAGCTTGGCCACCTTTTGGAAGAAGAGAAAAAGTTGAACAATGTCAAAGGACACTTCTTCGGTGCACTAGAAATGAAGCAAGTTCCTTCATATGTTTCTACAAACTAACGTATCATTTAATAACGTTTTTTTAAATCATATTTTTTATGCAAAAAATATTTTCTTTAAAATATTAAAACATATTTACTTACTATTTTATACAAGGGATTTAAATGCATTTCAATATGTAAATAGTACATTAAGATAATAAAGGCAAAATGGAGTCACCAATTCGTTCACTACTGTCTACTCATAGAATTTCCAACAATGGTTGCTAAAAGAAGCATGAGGTAGTGCCGAGGGGTGACAATCGTGTAGTGTTCGATTGACCCATATAACACGTGGATAAAAGAAATTTAACATTCAAATATAAGTCTAAAATTTTATTTATACAATTTTTTTTAACTAAAAACTAACTTAATAAATATCTATTTATACAATTAATAAAAGTATCTTATAATGCAAAACTTTTGATTTACTATTTTACCTTTATAAATAATTTTAAATATCACAATATACTTACATAGTTAAGTATTCAAATTACCATCACATCTTTATGTGATTAAATCTCCAAAATACCCTTAACATTTTTTTTAATTCTCTATTTTCTATGTATAAATATTAATATCTATGAATTTTTTTAATTAACTATTTTACCCTTTAAAAATAAGCATTGATTAGAATATTAATAATTATTGTTATTTTATACAATGAATTCTAAGTTGAAATCTAATCAAATAAATTTTAAAATGAATTTTTTTTATCTTTTTTCTTATATTTTATTCAGATAAACATACTTAAAATTTTTTTTACTAATATTTTATATATAAAAATTATTTACGTGCAACGCACATAGTGCATGATTAGTAAAAATAAAAATGAGTAAAAATATCTTTTCTTGTATAAGAATTGTGTCACTACTTGATAAAATATAACAAAAATTGACATTTTGTTCTTATAAAATTAGTTAAACGTATTGATCGTGTCAATTTTTTATTTTTTCGTTTTTAACACTAACTTGACCCATTTATTATTTGTATTAACGAGTCGTGTCATTTACGGGTTCGTGTTGAGAAATGACCAATCCTAACTTACTAATTTCAAGTCGTGTAAGGATTTGACACCATGGTGGTAGTGACATTATACATGTACTAGTATCCCACTTTATTATTCAAATTCTTAGTAAAAGACTCAAAACTCTTCTTATTCGGTATTAAAGATTTTATTTTGATATCTAATTTCGTATTATAACTTATAATAAGTTTTGACTGTTACATTAGTTTTTTAATATTGTAATGGTTCAATTTAATATATTTTAATATTTGACCAAAGTTCTGGGAAGATTCAAATCGTTTTTGATGGACTGTCATATTTTACCATATCTGAAGATCCAAATTGTTTTGGGGCATCTTTAGATCAGACGAATTTGCCACTTCATATCCATCTCCCAGAATACGTGAATTCGGAGATATGTTACTATGCACATAAGGGTTAGATTTTAATTGGATCTAGTACATTCGGTTCAATAATAAAATCAAAATAAGTTCTCAAAAGATAGGTGATATTCTCTTTAATATATTTAGTTTATTTTTTTTGAAGGGTAAAAAACCAACCCTATATGGTTAGGGGACCCACTTGTAAATAATTAATCCACTGTACTAATTGATTTACCATTGAAAGAAATTGAAAACCACTCTGAGTGTCCCTTATTTCTTGTAGAATTTCTAAGGCTTCTTTTGCTTTGGTTTCTTTTCCATTTCACTGAAGTTAGATTCAATGGAATTTGATTGTATTTGAGTTGGGAGAATCGGAGTTAATCGGATTACGATTCTTTATTAGCAATCAGAGAGTAATTGTTGAAAATTGATTCTTAGCGATGTAGATGAACCTTTATGCTGTGTTTGGCAACATGAATTTAGGTTATTTCTTATCCTTCTCTGTTGTTATGTACTCACCAGGTATTGATCTCAAACAGGTCGATAAATGTATAGGAGATCCCGAGGCAGATGTAGACAATCCTGTTCTTAAGGCTGAACAGGAAGCACAGATTTGAACCCTTGGAACAGACAATTATTATGCTTCTTGTAGCCTTGATGTCTCAGGAATCTCTGTGATTTACTGATTTTGGATTTCTTTGCAACTTTGGTTGTAGATCAGCAAAGGCTTTCGTGGAGATTTGACCATCTTGCCAATTCTTAATTGTCGTAAACAACAGACAGTATATAGGTACTGAATATGAAATCCCTAATCCCGCCCACGCCCCACCACTCATCCCCGGGAAAGGAACTCCAAAGTGAAAATAAAACTTTCATTGAATCTATTCTTGAACTATTTTTGGCTTTTTGAAAGCAAACTGGACAAAGGCGCAGTTCTCAAGGCCATCTGCTCAGGATTCGAGGAGACTACAGAGCCAGCCCTTTGTTTAACTGAAGATCATCCCTTAATCTTTGTCTACAAATCCTAGTTCTGTTCCTGTATATCCTGATCCCCAAAAAATGGGAAAGGAAACAATTGAGTGCTAGTTTTGTTCCTTTTCAATTGTACTGATGGTCTTTAAAAGTTCTTTTCTTTTATTTTTTTCAATCACATGCATAGAAACAAATGAATGCTTAGAGAACAAAGCGCGCTCGCTTGGGGGGAGGTGGTTTGCTATCAGGATAAGGCTGCCAATATTGCGACATGCAAGGTAATTGGAATGCTCTATTTTTGTCTGTCTGAGTTTAGTCTCATTTCATGCCACTAATCCTTGTCTGTGAATGCCCAATCGTGGAGGGCATACAGTTTGTTAGTGATGGCTATACTCACTGTCAAGGAAACATTATATATTTGGATGATGACTTTTGAAATTTCTAACTACATCATGCATGCCTGTGATTTGTAGCAGATCATGATGCATGTTTTGTGATTCTGGCAATTGGGCTAGTGAATTATGCATGGGTGAAGTTTATATTTGCATGTGAAATAAATAATGGAGGCTGCTGGAAAGGATCCAAGGATGGGAGGACCTACTCTGCTTGCATAGAAGGGAACTTTTGTGTACTCTGTCCTTTTTCTCCAAGTGATGATTTATGTTATTATATTCTTGCTTCGTCTTAACTCAAACTCAAAATTTTCCGCTTTAAATGTTGCACAACTGCAAAGCTTTATAAAATATTCTCTAACTCGATAAAATAAACCATTGCCAGAGAGGAGGGGTGTACATAGTACAAGTACAAGGAGCTTTAACGCACATCGATTCGTGCCTTCAATAGACACTAATTCGTGCATTGAAGAACAAACTAACAGACAAAGGAAATCAAATCAAGTTGTTTTTGTAAATCAATTTAATGGATTAGTATTCCATATTTCTATGTTTATTTTCATTTTTATCAATAACTTTATTTACATGAAATATACATTATTTTATCTGATTTATTTTTTTAAATTATAAATTTGAATATTTTAATAGTATAAACATAATCCACGTTGTTGGTATGAGTTTCTATGACTAGAGTTTGGCCCCCCCAATAATAAATCCTGGTTCCGTCCCCGCCCCTAAATCCAACTTGTGACATTTATGGGTAGTGAGTTTGTTTAGAAGCTATATGTCATCTTCTTACACTATTATTGGTTGGGACTATGAGTCTCTTCTCTATGATGTTTTCAGATGCTTATGCAGACAGAACCGTTGGAGAGGAAAAACCTAGGACTTCAGTGGATGAGGGGCCCTCTATGACAGAATTAAGTGGGTATAATTCTAAGAGGCGGGAGTTTGAAATTGAATATGAGAATGATGCCGAGCAGTTGCTGGCGGACGTGGAATTTAAGAATACATACAGACACTGATGCTGAACGTGGATTGAAACTGCGAGTCTTGCGAATATAATCAAAAAGGTAATCAGTTCATTCAGTTGTAGTTTCCTTTTCCTGTTGTTCCTTTTCTTCCTGTTACTTTTATATGTGAGAAATCATGATATAGCTGAGGCTATCAAAGGGTCCATGTTTACAATTTGTAGATAGGTGGTGGGATGAAACAATCTGATGGTCTGCCATCTGGCTGAGACGACTGGTGTTTAAGGGGAAACTCACTCCCAAGCCGTGGTTGGAGATTCTTATTTTAGTCCCTGGGATATCAGCGCCCTAATATAAGAGTTTGAACACAAATTTTATGATTTCTACAATTTCAAGGCAGTCCAGAACAAATATGCCTTTAGTTGAAAACCTTTGATTACCTTTTATGTTAACTACATGCAGATGTTGATTGCAAGCCATGCCACGTGCTCACCTCTCGGCCAGAGGGTTTGCTACTGGACTACTGATTTGCTAGAGTTCCCATACTACCTCATGTGTTTCTCTGATTCCCTTCTTACGTCACTTTTCAATGATAGAGGCTTGCCGCATAAGATTGTCATGTGTCTTTTTTGTCCATGCACATAATAGTCAATGTGTATGCATTCTAATGGCTTCAATGTCTAAAGTTTGTCAATCTTGCACCAGCTGTCTTTGCAATTGGAAAAGCATTTTGTATCTTACAATAGTATGATTATTGGAGCTCGTAGAAATTCTGATATTCTGTTTTCTTTCTCTGTATTGTTGGGTGGGTTTGGGTGGTGGTCTTAGGTTTATGTGGGCTTGACCCATTTTGTAGGATCTTATGATTTCTTAATTGTCAAATGAGTATGTGTTGAACATTCGTATGTTGATAAGGTTCACAAACTGCGCCTTATCTGGACCTTCTGGTGACCATATATTGAATATTGGAAGTATATGTCATGCTGTTCACATCCAGTCATTTTCTTTCATTTTACCTACGTGTCAAACATATTGGGAATTTTCGGCAGGCTTGATGAGAGGAAACCGCGGAAGGATTTTATACTGGAAAGAAATTTACTTCATCCTGACCCTTTAGAGAAAGCCCTCTCACCAGAAGAGAAAGAAAAATGTTAGCAGTACAGGGTGTTCATGCGCAAATCGTGATTTATTCTGAAATTTATGGTACTATCACTTATGGTAAAAATATATTTATAAGACTACAATTCTGAAATTTCATTTGAAATAAAAATGATTTTTTTAATAATTTATGAAGGTCTGGCAAGTTTATCTACCTAGAATTTTAATGCTGGTGTCTGCCCTGCCTTGCTCGTATACTTGTTATTCATTTGTACTATGTTACCTGTTCCTACCGTATTAGGCCAAATATTTGTCTTTGTACTACTACTCAGAAGTTTCCTTCTTGTGTGTTTTCCATGTTCTCTCAGTAATTTAACGCCATGAATGTACGAATTCTTGAAAAGAAAAATACTCATATTTGTGCCTTCTGAATATTGTTTTTTTTTCCTTATTTGTCATATTTGCCAGACTGACGTACTTTAGTGATCTCTTTTTTTGGTTCCGTCCTTACTTATAATATAATTTCTGAATTTCACGGATTCTGGTCATACTGGAATTACAACCTTAATGTGGAGTTAGAACTGGTCGGGTTTTCTAGTAGTCTACAAGTTGGTGTTACCTGGTTGGGTTTCCTAGTAGTCTTCATGTAGGTGGTAACACTAGTTTGAATAAGAGGACCAAAATTTGTTGTCCACAAATGGATGAATAAACTTTTGGTCCTTGGACTGACCTAAGCACTTTCAGTTATATAATTGTTTTGACTTATTGAGGTACTCGTCGTGATTTTCTTTTTTGGTCAAACAAAGGTGTCTGTCGTCTGTTGTTCCTCACATTGGGTGGGATCCAAAAAATTGTCTTACAAATGTATGCCACGTTTTTACTTGTGTACCTCTACTTTTGTGTGTATATATATTATTTGTCCCTTAGCTAGCATATCAATAACCATAATTTTGAAGGATGCTCGAGCTGCTGGCTGTTGTACATCTGCTGAGGCTGAAAGATTTATTGAGCAGAAGTGAAAGAAGGAAGCTGAAGAAACTGCCCGTGGAGTGAAGGAGAGTTCCCAGCCTGATCCGAGTGGTAAATTCCTCCAAAGGGCAAATAATCTCAAAGGAGAACTTGATAGCAGTGCTCAGGGAGGTGTCACAAATATAGATTCTGGTTGCAAGGACTCTTCTTCAACAACTGCAGGACTAGCTATTTCAAACTCCTTAAACAATTGGGATGTCACCGGTTTTGTGGGGGCTAATTTACTCTCTGTAGCTGTGAGAATGCTGCTTGCACTTTCTAGATCTATAACCTAAAAGTTGTTTGCTCCTTCTTTGGGTCTCTGATACAATGCTTTTATGGGTAATTATTGGATATTATAGTGGTCTAGACCCCAGTTGACAATGTCACTAATAAGCAAAGTGTCTTTATGACCGGTTAAACTCCATAAATAACTTTTGGAAGCAAAGTGGTTTTTTTGAAGTTTTAGTCTAAGTTATGACAGATTAAAGTTCAATAGCATTTTTGGGGTTGGGGGGTAGAAAGATGAAACCATATCTAGTAGATGTTCTGTTTCTGTGCTATTTGTTGATTCATATTCATATTAATCTTTGATAGTGCGTTGCGGTTTAAACGTGCAGGAAAAACAGCTGTGTGGCGAAATCAAGATCCTACCAACACATTATTTGAGTCTGTTGGAAGCCATGTCAATGGAGATTTTAAAGGGCAATATTACCAAGAAATCCGAGGCGCATGGCATGTTCAACCTTGATCCAAATAAGGTGGATGGAGTATATGATATGCTTGTGAAAAAGGGTATCACTCAAGCGTGACATGCAGCCAGCCTGCAATTTTGTTCGAGAGCTAATGAGTTGTGGATTCTAGAAAGGTAAATAGCGCCCTTGTGGTCATGAACTCTGTAAAAATTTTGTACTCAGCAATTAATATAGTGCAGTGACCTTCAACAAGACCCAAGATTTGTTGTGGAAGTAGAGAAAGTATTCATCGCAATGGTGGTCATGTCTTTATTAACACGTGATATCACTAGTCAATCATAATGTCAAATATCTCATTTAATCCAATGTGATTGTAATTGAATGTGGTGGTTATTAGAACAGTGAGTCACTAGGTGATATGATTCATTCTTAACCAAAAAAGGGAGGGGGGGGGGGGGGGGATTAAATCTTGGACAAATTGGTCCCTAATGTGTGTTACCAATATAGTAAAAACAAAAGGTGAAGTTTTTGATTTTTTGGTAAGTACAAAATGTGAAGTTAGATGGTTCACAAACTGAGCATATTATTTAATAATACTTTTGAGTGTTATGTTACCACTTATTTCATGTCATTTTGTTCAATTGTGGGGGTACTTTTTTTGTATATTTCACGTGTTTTTCTTTATGTTCAGAGAAAACGAAGAAGGGGCGATCAGTAATTAGTAATCCCTGATGGCCATGATTACAAGTGTTTGAATGTTCAATTTGAGACATAACTACTAATTCGAAAAAGTAATCCATCATTACAACACTACTAAAATCAAACAATACCACCAAAAATGTCAGCACTCTGGCCTCTGTCATGTTTCATTGTCGTACATTTATCAGAATTGGGCCTATCTTGTCTCATCCAATAAGATCATGGATGACTCCCAATTGGCTTTCTTGCAGCCTCAACAGATTGCCAAAGAATGTGAGATTTAGTTTGAATGCTTGTATAGGAGCTATTTAACTGATGGATAATCTATTTTGGCATACCTCATGACGACCATGGATTTTAGTCTAGACCTCTTTTAGAGCCTAAAACCCTTTGGGTTCATTTAAAACGACCTAAGCACCTTCTCCAGATAGCGTTCATTGGACTCGAGCTAGACTGTGGCCTAGCTAGCCCCATAGAAATCTGCAACAAACCAGCCCAGGATAGGTGAAGTTCTATATCAGAAAGCTAGGTATAAATACTGGTTCGAGAATTGGAAGCATGACACTAAGCTATTCACCAAAAGTTATATCGCGACACGTGGACATGGGACAATACCTAATAACACTAATGAGTGGAAACTCTTCGGTAGTGGAGATGACTCACATATCCCATTTGAGCCATAGTGGGTGCAAGAAAGCGTCAGGAATGACAGACTCAGCAACATGACAAATGATGGGGAGACCACATAATCATTCAAAAAAGGAATCACCACGAAACCCTAACGACGAGATGTATAAATAGTTAACGACACCACAAAGAAGGAGGAGTTAGCCAAAACCTAGCCAATATTCTGTAAAAAGCTCTTAGCCAAATACCTTGTAACAAAAATCTTCTTCCCCAATAATACAATTCTCAAAGAGCAAGAGCCTACATCACAGTGGACGTAACCTTAGTCATTCGGGTAGGGTGAGCCACTCATTTTGCTATTTTCATCTGTATTTAACGCTTAACACATTTCCATCACACACACATTCATGTACTCTAAGGGCCATACCCTAGACTATTTTATAGTTGGATCTAGTTGATTTCAAACACCATCACCTCAAAATGAGAAATATAGCTAGATGTAGGAAACTTGAACTAAATCACAGCTAGACCCTACTTTGGTGTTGCGGTGCTCTGTTTTTGCCCTGTTCTTTCTCTTAGTTGTAATGTTTATCTTGGTAATTGCGTGGTGTTTTATGAATGTGATATGCATTAGAATGGTTGTGTTAGTCTTGTGTGGGAACAATGATTAAACTAGGTCAACAAGGTCGTGGTTTGAAAATGTAATTGTTCTTTTATCCTTGTATGAATTGCGGCAAAAAAAAACTCATTGCAGTTTTCATGCGATTATAGCAGTTATATTGTGGCTTACTTTCAAATTATCACTTTTAGAGACTTACCCTTACAATGATGAATCTGAAATGAAGGATTGCAAAGGAGTAGAGTCCCAGGGTTTCCCACTTCTTTGTAGCACTGTACTCCATACCCTAGCTGTAAAAGGGCAATCGAAAAGGGATGCTTGTAGCTCTCTTCTCAATTCCTGCAAAAACCACAAACAGTGTCCAAGTGCTGCATATAAGTCTTATGATGTACTTAGTTTCTTTCATTATTAATAAACTGTACAAGCTTAATTTAATTGCTCCAATATTTGATGTTGTTGTTCCATATATGAAACGATTTTATATTTACATATACAAATCTAATCACGTATGTCCTTCACAACTGGCTGTCTTTGGCATTTCTTCGATGCCCTAGAACTAATGCAACTAATGCAAGTTCCTGTATAACTCTCTACAAACTAAGGTTCAATGTAGAGTTCATCATAAGCAAGTGTGTACTTTATCATGAATCTATCTTCATTTGACAAGAAGTTAATTGTCCTCTCCATTTTTATCCAAATAATTTGTCATCAAGTTGTGAAGCACATATACATCTGTAAGGCTAGAATATATGTATCAAATACGAATATGCATTAGATACGGCTTGATAAGTATCAAATCGATGCAGCCAAATACATCTCGAATATTTTGAAAATATTTTTTATATCTTCAGGATATGTCGATTATAAATGATTGGTACATTTCAGATAAGCAGGGATACATTGGAACTAAATATAGCATTATTTAACGAATAGGTCATTGAAGTAACTCAAATAAGTTTTTTGGTAAAATCAAAATATGGAGTTTTTTTTATGCAAGAGGAATATAATTTGGATCTCAAAACAGTTGTTCTATTCAGAGCTTTGTTAATTGAACAAGAGCCTTTTTATAACATATGATTGCCCTCCTACCTAAAGTTTTACCCATTTAGGGTAGGTTTGATTAGAAAGAAAATAATGATAACAGTGAAAGTGGTAGAACGTGAAGTAAAAAAAAAAAAAATTAAAGAAAATATATTCTCTTTCATGTATTTGGTTAGCATAAAATATGTATAAGAAAATTTCTAAAACTTTTCTTTCTATAGTTTGAAAAGTAGGAAAGTTACAAAAAAATTTGTTTAAATATCAATATTACCCTTATCTATATTAGAGAGATTTATATCCAATAGATAATAACCAAGGTGGGAGGAAACATGAGCAAAGTGGGAAACTAGATATGTCTACTCAACTTTCCCGAGAAAAAAATTATTTCCCTACACAATTTGTAGAAAAACAAGAACTACATGTTATTATAAAATTTTGTGGACCCAAAAATTTAGTTTCTAACAATTTCTAGTATTATCATGTTAAACAAACAGAAAAAAATCAGAATTTTGATCATATATTTGACATTTTGGAAGAGTTTTCCATTATAATGCCTGAAAAAAATTTAATATTGACAATACAAAAAAGCATAGTCGAAAATAATAAACATTAATGCAAACAAAACTATTATATGCAAGATTTGATTTTTATACAAAGGTAATGTCATGTTTCAAATATTTCACCTCCAAGCATGGTCATTAGCTTCACATTGTCCAAATTGCAAAAATTCATTACAAAATGGATAGAAATTTGTGTCTCTTTGTCTACCTAAGTAGTGTGATTTTGTTCCACTTACTCTAACATACATCTATTAATTTTGGGACAATATTAAACCAATACAAGTAGTTAAGATGGGTAATGTGAGAAATTCAATGATGAAATGGTTGAAAGTGAGATCAGACTCTAGGTAAAAAATGAAAAGTATAATTACCCCCAGAATACGTGGAAGTGACCCACATGAAATGTTGGTCTTGTCCATATGCATAGATTAGCTTTTGCATGCAACAAAATAGCTCCTTTTTGCCTTCTTAATCGTTGGAATCACTCTAGATCCAACTGTAAGTCAAGTCATCCCTGTGACATAATGTCTTTCTCAAGCAAAAAATTACAATGATCCTAACAATTTGCTTGATAGAGTTTTCATTACAAATAATATAGGAGGGACCATTGAAGCTCTGAATAACAAGTTTTTGTTACCATGCAGAGAAGATAAGAAAATACGACTACTATGATCTTCTAATCTATCAATGGGTCGTGTGTGTCAGGTTCGTGTCATGTCAAAACATTTAGCTCATTTGGGTTAGTGCTATATTGAGTTTGTTTGTGGCTTGAATAAACCATGTTTAGTAGGTTTACATCATACTTATTCGAGCTCGTGTTGATCAATTTATTTTAAATATCTGATAGATCTACCCATTTAATACCCAAAAAATTGTAAAGGTTAAACCCAAATTCATCAGTTTTGTAGATCGTGTTTAAAATTATTGGGCTAACTTTAAACCATAGAAATGTAAGATGTATTCATCTGAGGCAATTTGTTTCTTCCAAAATTAGTAATTTCTTTGTCAATAACAGTGGCTCAAAGGCATTCTTAGGAGCCACAAATGTTTTTGTCAAACAAACTTCCAGATTTTGTAGACAAAATTGATGTAATGGTGAAAATTAATAGAAAGCCTTAATTAAGACGAATTGACAATTGAGAGCTTAAATTGAGACAATTAAAAATTTGGAGATTAAATTAAAATTGGAAGACAAAGCTTAGGAATCAATTATGATTTTTACTCAAAAAAACACCCTTAACATCCAACTAGGAGATTAAATCAACTTTTTGGAATTGGACCTTAATACTGTGAGTGTAATTTTCGACGACCGTCTTTATTGAAGTTTTTTTTTTGGGCTTGACGTTATTTCTAAGGGAGGATCTTCTCCATCTAGACGTTTGTGTGACAAGAACATTTGTGGTTAATATAAGGGCCTTCAAGCCAAAACTATAGAATGGAGCAGATTCTATTCATTGGTGTTGGCAGAAGTAACATCTAAACATAGGCTTTCCCACTTATTCATTGATCTAACTAACTAAGGGCTCATTTGGTAACTCACTAATTTCCTTTTTATTTTCTTTGTTTTGTATTGTTTGCTGAATTGAAAACCGCAACATGTTTGGTAACTAATTCACTTTATTTTTCAAGTGAAATTGTGTTCAAAATAATAGCCTTTTTAATTTGGATGGAAACTAAAAAATTATGAGCTTTATTGTTTAGGATGCTAAGAGGGAATCAAAGTCTATGCCACAAATCATCTTTTTTCGGGCATGAATTTAATTATTGCCTCTTCTCCTGGGATAATCAGGCGTGCAATGAATTGTCCGGTTAGGCTTGAACTCTCACTGACTTTCTTTTGACCGTTAGATCATCTCTACGGGTCACATTAGATTTTATTATTTTGGTTGAAAACAATTTGTTACGATAATTATTTTGATTTGAGTGGCATAGAATTGTAACATACATCGAGTTTGATGTAACTTGGGCTATTCTTTTTTTTTTATTTTTTTTTTATATAGCGCCTTTAGGCACGAACAATTTCTAATCATCAAATTTGACGGAGCCATGTTTTTTGCTTCTATATGTTTTCAAGCCTCACAATCTGGTCCCATTTGAAAGACATCACATTTGGGCCATTAAACATAGTCAGTTGAATCATGCATTAATGTGTCTTTTCTCTCTCAATAAGAATTTTTTTTTATTTTTTTTTTGGGAGGGAAACTTGAACCCTTGATTTCAAAAAGACAAAACATTTACAAGAGAACGAGCACCATTAGACCAAAGACCCATTGGTAATAAGAATTGATTTAAACCTTATCAATTGCAGAGATAACTTGACTTAGTTGCATCAATGACTTGGCAAAAATAAATTAAGAAAATTATATTTTATACGGAAGGCCCTTAACCAAGATAAAAACCAATCATTTTGATCTAATTCATTTCACTATAATTCCCAGCGCCCATCTCTTTGGATGAATTAACTATTGCTAGTCTCCTTCCACATCTGGAAGTTTGTGCGACAAGAACATTTGTGGCTCCTAATAGGAAGAAACAAATTGCCTTAGATGAATCCATCTTCTATTTCTATGGTTTAAAGTTAGTCCAATAATTTTAGACACGACCTGTGAAATTGACGGATTTGGGCTTAACCTTGACGATTTTTTGGGTATTAAACGGGTAGATCCGTTAGATATTTCAAAAAATGGATTGACATGAACTCGAATAAATATGACATAAACCTACTAAACATGTGACATGTCACGAACCCAACATGACACGGCTCATTGACAGGTTAAAAGACAATAATAGTCGTCTTTCCTTCTCTTCTCTGCATGGTAACAAAAACTTATTATTCAGAGCTTCAATGGTCCCTCCTATATTATTTGTAATGAAAATTCTATCAAGCAAACTGTCAAGATCATTTCAACTTTTTTACTTGAGAAAGACATTATGTCAAAGGGATGACTTGACTTAGAGTTGAATCTGGAGTGAATCCTGTGGTTGTCTCTCCTTCTTTTCTTTGCATGGTAACAAAACTTATTATTCGGAGCTTCAATGGTCCCTCCTATATTATTTGTAATGAAAATTCTATCAAGTAAACTGTCAAGATCATTGCAACTTTTTTGCTTGAGAAAGATATTATGTCACAGGGATGACTTGACTTAGAGTTGGATCTGGAGTGAGTGTTGTGGTCATCTTTCCTTCTCTTCTCTGCATGGTAACAAAAACTTATTATTCGGAGCTTCAATGGTCCCTCCTATAGTATTTGTAATGAAAATTCTATCAAGCCAACCGTCAAGATCATTGCAACTTTTTTGCTTGAGAAAGACATTATGTCACATGGATGACTTGACTTAGAGTTGGATCTGGAATGAATCCTGTGACTAAGAAGGCAAGGGGGACTTATTTTGTTGCATGTAGAAGCTAATCTATACATATGGACAAGAACAACATTTCATGTGGGTCACTTCCACATTTTCTAGAGGGTAATTATACTTTACATTTTTAACTTACGAGTCTGATTTCACTTCAACCATTTCATTATCGAGTTTCTCATATTACCCGTCTTAACTACTTGTATTGGTTTAAAACTTTCCCAAAATTAATAGATGTATGCTAGAGCGAGTAAAACAAAACCACACTATTTAGGTAGACAAAGAGGCACAATTTTCTATCCATTTTATAAGGATTTTTTACAATTTGGACAGTGTGAAGCTAATAACCATGTTCGAAAGTGAAACATGCTAAACATGATATTCAGGCGGCAATGTGAGAATGAGGGAGTGTAGTTGGGGGGCCAATGTCTAAGTTACCCTTTTATAAAAATCGAAATTTACATATAAAAGACCTTCATGGTCCTTCCTTTTTGGAACATTGATATTAGTTTAGTTTGTCCCAAGAATATCATTTTGTCAAATTTATAATCACTCTTTTAGAATTGTAACAATCAATCTTATCTACCAAATTTCCCATTAAAACATACTGAAAATCCCCATGCACTTGTTTCAACTTGCCCATGTACTCATTTTTTTTGTGTGGTTTAGTACCAGAATTAAACAAAAGGAATAAATTCCTATGATTTAAAGAATTCCTTGACAAAATTGAGAAGAAAAAATAAACTTCAAGAGTTGGTGTTTGATAAAAATGGAAATTAAGTACTGAAAATTGAATGTTGAATGTTTTAATCAAAGAAATTTGTGGTATGTGGTGGTGCCCCGGACCGTACAATGTTGTCCGTTTTGAGCTAGGCCTGCACGACTTTAAAATGCGTTATACAATGAAGGTTAAAGGCTCACACTTATGTGTCACTCCATATTCACTTTGCTAATAGATATTGAATTGGGTCATTACAATCTACCCCCTTAAGTCAAAACATCCCCGTTTGGGTCTTGCCCCGACCCATGCGATGTGGGCTTCTGAGGGATCCCACCACGCTTGCTGCCATCATCCAACGCCACTACCTTGCCAACATCCCGCATTGTTCTTGTTTGAGAAAGACCTATAAGAGGGATGACTTGACTTAGAATTGGATCTAAAAAGGCGAAGGGGACTATTTTGTCGCATGCAGAAACTATGGACAAGAATAACGTTTTATACGGGGTTCACTTCCAAGTTTTTTGGAGGGTAATTTTTCTTTGCATTTTTAACCAATGATGTTGATATCACTTTATCCATTTCATTATTAAGTTTCTCATATTCCTCGTCTTAACTACTTATATTGGTTTAATGTTATCTCAAAAAGAGGGGCATAATCTAGGTGAACAAAGGGACGTAACTTTCTATCCTTTTTGGGACGGATGTTCACAATTTAGACTGCGTGAAAATAATAGCATGTTCGGAGGTGCAACATGTGAAACACAACAACTGAGTGGCAATGAGAGGCAAAGAGCATAGTTCAGGGGTCAATGTAATATTTATCTTGTTATAAAAATCAAATCAAGGCTTTTCAATTTCATAGTCCTTTCATTCTCGAACATTTATACTAGTTCTAATTTTTCCCAAGATTTTTTTTTCTTTCAAATTTATACGTGAACAATTAGAATCGTAACAATCAATCCTTTCTGCCCAATTTTCCATTAAAATATACTAGAAAACTCGACGCACTTATTTCGATTTTGCTCATAAACTAATGCTTTTATGTAGAGTTTAAAGCGGGAGTTAAACATAAGGAACAAATTCTTATGATTTCAAGAGTTGTAAGACAAAATTTAGGCAAAACAGTCTTTGATGTGTAAATTCAAACTCTTGTAAAAAAAGATTTTTATGATTTTTGGCCTAATGAAGAACCCATAGAGTTAAATGTTTTCTGATAAAACTACAGATTAAGTATTGAAAACTGAATATCAAATTTCAAGTGTTAAATGTTGAATCTTGTATTGTGAAAACTTTTTGGTATGTACTAAAATGTAAACATTGAATTGGACAATACAAGGAGCAGAAATGTGAAGCTCGCAGTTTTCAAGTTTTTCCGTTTCCCTCCACCACCCAACTAGAACTACCCACCTCTACCATCACTATAGCAACCACCATCAAGCCATTATCCCCCACCACTACCTCCACCTTCACCAGCCTTGCAACCACTACAATCTTAGCACCGTCGCTGCCACCCAACCAAACAACCACTGTTGTGACCATTGGTTCACTATTGCCTCCACCACCATCCCTGGTACCACTTTCGCTCTAAATTAAAACTCATGTCAATGTTTATGAGCCTTTATGATATTTACCAACGAACCTACAGAGTTATGTTATTTTTGCTTTTAAGGATATACTTTCTTCCATTCCCTTTTTTTCGTTCTCGCTGCTTTTCAGTCACTAAGGCATCAACATAAAGATGGGCAGAAGTCAAAAAAGTCTGCAAAAAATTTTTTCAGGATAATTCGTTGAATGGTAAAAAGGCCAAAGGGGTGAACTGAAAAGATATTAGTGCGGGTGTTCGGTTTGGAGGTATAGAAGAGGAAACAAAACAAAAATTTGAAATGAATGCTTATAAAAAAGTTTATCAAAATATTTATCAAATTAATATGGATGATTGGATCAACAGATCCATCAAGAAAAACTAATGAGACACAGTGGTCCAATCATCCATTTTGATTCGAAAATTTTTTTTAGGTTAATTATATTAGAGGTTCCCTAAAGTATATATTTTGTCTCATTTTGCTCCTTAATATTTCAATTGCATCATTTTGGTTTATAAAATATTGAATATATTTCTATGTAATCACTCAAGCAGACAACATCTAAATTGCTAACGATTTTTTATGATAAACTTGTCATGTTATACCTAAATATTGGCAAAACTTAATTTGGATAGTTCTTGAACAAAATTTGTATAGCTCTTGACCTAAAATATGTAATATAGGTAGTTCTTGACCAGAATTTGGATAACTTAATATTAAAATTGTGTAATTTGAGTAGCTCTTTAATCAAAATTTGGGTAAAAAATTGGTCAAGAGTTATCTAAATTATTGTTGTGCCCATATTTTTGTATAATAAAAAATTATTAACAATTTGGACGTTATCTGTTTGAGGGATCATATAAAAATATATTTAATATTTAGGGACTAAAATGATGCAACTGAAATATTAAGGACCAAAATGAGAGAAACTCCATACTTTTGGGATCTCCAATATAATTAACCCAATTATTTTTTAGTTCAGTAGTATAAAACAAAAGAGAAAACTTGTAATTCTATTTTCTTCTTTAATGAGAGATCTGCCTTGTTAAACTTCGTGATACCTTGAAATTCTGATTTATTTTAATGAACTCTTTGTGACATTGTAGAAGCAACAAGTTAACTGATTGGTTAACTTGAAGAATCAAGATGAACTAAATAATTGAGAATAACATTTGTGGCATGGAGTTGGTGTGACAATAACATTTTGGACCTCTTGACTTTGAACATGACGATTTCCAACGCCCATCTGAGCTCTAGAAGACTACTGTTCGTCTTCTTCCTCATCTGGTAAGTTGGAGTGCCAATAACATTTGTGGTAGCAAAAAAGACCCTTGAGCCACCGATATTGAAAGAAACTGTGGTTAAAACGAGGAGATCACTTTTAAGTTTGTCGTGGCGCATTGTAATCATCCTCCTAACTCTGCTATCCATGTAACAGACTTGGTATCCGAAAAGTGTTGCTTGTAGAAGTTAATGTATGCATATGGATATAAAAAGGATAATCACAAGGATAGTTCAAATGGCAACAAGAACAAACTGTACATCCAAATGTCTTAAATTTGAATTTTAAAAATTTTTTGGGGTCAGACAATGAGAAATTTATCAATCTCGTGAATATCCTAATCTCAGAACCTGACAAGAGAAAGGATTAGTCAAAGTGTATATGAGCTGGGCCGAACACTATTGACCGTTGAACCCAAAACAAAAAAAAAAAAAAATACATAAAGCATCCAAAGTGGGGCCCAGTTTGACTGCACTCATGCATTTTCTCAGACGCAACTCCTGTATAAATAAGCTCAAAACCTCTCATGAATTGCTCATCCGATTGTTCTAAAGTTAAGACATTATGGCATTATCTTTCTACCTATTTGCGTTCATGCGCTTTCTCCTCATACTCCTGAGTTTTCATCATATAATATTAACTCACTGCTCCTCTTCTACACAACAACTATGCCATGAAAATGAGAGAGTTGCCTTGTTACAGTTCAAGCAAAGCCTTTCAACTGTCAAGAATGCTTCTGGCGACTCTTCTGCTTACCCAAAGGCTGATTCTTGGGGGCTTCAAGAAAATAATAGCAGTGATGATTGTTGTTTGTGGGATGGGATTGAGTGCGATGAGGACTCCGGTCATGTGATTGGCCTAGACCTCAGTAGCAGTCTTCTTTATGGTTCGTTCAACTCCAACAGCAGCCTCTTTGGCCTTGGTCGCCTTCAGAGGCTTAACCTTGCAGACAATCACTTCAATTACTCTCAAATTCCGTCTGCAATTGGCCACCTTTCTGGTTTGACAAGTCTCAACTTATCTGGCTCTGTATTTTTTGGTCAAATTCCACCAGAAATTTTCGAGTTGTCAAATTTGGATTCCCTTGATCTTTCCACCAATATTGATCCCTCGTCTCATGAAAGCCTGTTGAAGCTTGAAAACCCTAGTCTTGGGAGCCTAGTTGAAAACCTAACTGGCCTGAAAGAACTTTCTCTGTCTCAAGTGCTTATATCTTCTGAAGTACCTGATATCTTGGCTAATTTATCATCTCTCACATCTCTATTTCTCAGAGAATGTGGGCTCTATGGTAAATTCCCAGTAGGTATATTCCACCTACCAAAGTTACAAGCTCTTTGTGTACATTTTAATCAAGATCTCATTGGTTCTTTGCCTGAATTTAACCAAAGTAGTCCCCTTGAGAATTTGAGACTTGCTGGGACGAGTTTCTTTGGGAAAGTACCAGTTTCTATTGGAAATCTTAAGTCATTGTTTTGGTTGGATCTCAAAGACTGTGATTTCACAGGCTCACTTCCTTATTCCCTTGGTGGTTTGAACCAACTTGTCAGTATTAACCTTTCATACAACCATTTCACAGGCCAAATCCCTCCTTCATTTTCCAATCTTACCAGACTTAGTGCTCTATCACTTTCACACAATAACTTTAGCGGCAAAACATTATCTTGGTGTTGTAAGTTAACTTCACTCACCGAGTTGTTCCTTAGTGCCAACAACATGTATGGTGGCATCCCATCTTGTCTTGGGAACCTGACTCGACTAACTAGTTTAGTTCTTTCTGATAATCGATTGAATGGTGGGATTCCATTGTGGCTGGGGAACCTCACTCAACTAACTTGGCTACGCTTTGGTGACAATAAGTTCCACGGTCCAATTCCACAATCAATTTTCACACTCAGTAATCTTAGAACTCTTGTTCTATACAACAATTACTTGAGTGGGGTAGTGGAAGCCAATATGTTTCTTAAGCTTAAAGATCTTAGTGATTTCCAATTGTCAAACAACCAATTATCAGTGCTCACTAGTGACGATCCCAACTTCACTCTTCCAAAGTTCAAAATTTTAGGATTAGAGAAATGTAATTTAACTGAATTCCCAAAGTTCTTACAATATCAAGATGAATTGGAGGTGTTGTTCCTCGATGATAACAAAATTCATGGTCTTATCCCCAAATGGATAAGGAATATGGGCCAAAAAACTTTGGTAAATATAGGCTTAGCTTTCAACTCTCTAACGGGATTTGAACAACTTCCAACTGTCCTTCCATGGGAGAGTCTACGAGCTTTAGACCTCGAGTCTAACCGGCTTCAAGGATCGCTCCCAATTCCACCATTCTCCATCATTACTTATCAAGTGTCAAATAATTTCCTAACCGGAGATATTCCATTGTCAGTCTGCAATGCAACCTTTGTTGAACTCCTTGACCTGTCAAATAATAGCTTGAGTGGAAGCATTCCCCAATGCTTAATCAATGATTTCCTAATGGGGTTGAATTTGCAGAGCAACAATTTTCATGGCAGTATTCCTCAGGTGTACAACAAAGGAAGCCGTTTGAAAGTGATTGATTTAAGCAAAAATAAATTAGATGGGCCGGTACCGAGATCTTTGGCCAATTGCACAATGTTAGAGTTTCTCAATCTGGGAAACAATCAAATCAACGATATTTTTCCCTTTTGGTTGGGAAAGCTTCCAGAGTTGAAGATTCTCCTTCTCGGATCTAATTGGTTTCACGAAACCATAGTCAGTCACCTGTCGAATTTTGATTTCCCCAACTTGCGCATCATTGACCTTTCATTCAATGGTTTTACAGGTGAGTTGCCATCAAAATACTTCAAGAACTGGAATGCCACAAAAATTCATGATGATGGCCAGTCATTATATTTTCAAGAAGAGAATACTTTTGCAGTGCCGGGCATTACCTTTAGCCAGAGTTTCACATTTTCAATGACAATGAGAAACAAAGGACTTGAAATTCGTTATATCCATATCCTAACCAAATTTGTAGCCATTGACCTATCAAGCAACAAATTCAATGGAGAAATTCCAGAATCCATTGGAAATCTCAAAGGGCTTCAATTACTCAACCTTTCCAACAATGGTTTCACAGGTAGCATGCCATCATCCTTAGGGAACTTGAGGGATCTTGAGGCTTTGGATGTTTCTCAGAACGAGCTCTCAGGAGAGATCCCTCAACAATTGGTGCAACTAACGTTCCTTTCATTCTTGAATGTCTCTCATAACCACCTCACAGGGGCTATACCACAAGGGAATCAATTTGATAGATTTGAGAATAATTCATTTGATGGGAACCCAGAATTGTGTGGAGGCCCATTGTCAAAGAAATGTGGAAGTTCTGAGGTACTATTGCCACCTCCACCGGTAACCCTTGAGAATGGCAATTCAAACTTCCCAAGTAAGTTTGATTGGAGTTTCATATGCATGGGATATGGAAGTGGGCTAGTAGTTGGGTTGGTGACTGGGCACATTTTGACCACCCGTAACCATGAATGGTTTGTGGAAACTTTTGCAAGGAGGCAACCGAAGAGAAGGAAGAAGAAGAGGGCGCAAAGAAGCTGAAGTTGAGAATGAATGCATAATTTGGGTTTTTTTAGTGAAGTTCAGGGAAATAATTTCAAATTTGGCCTAATTCTCTGATATCAATAACTACTTGAAAGTGACAATGTATGTGCTTTTGTAAATTATGCTCAATTTTCTGTGGTACACTTGGACATTCTCTTTTTCTCTTCAATGGATGTTAGGCTTTTTAGCCTACTCTTGGTATGTATTTAGTTTGTTTCATGTGGTTTTTTTTTTCCCCAAATATACACAATGGCTTCATACTTAACCCACACCAATGCATGTGTTCACGTGTGCCCTTTACAACAGAAGGAAGCTTGGCCACCTTTTGGAAGAGGAGAAAAAGTTGAACAATGTCAAAGGACACTTCTTCGGTGCAATAGAAATGAAGCAAGTCCCTGCATAGTTTCTACAAACTAATGTATCATTTAATAAAGTTTTTTTAAATAATACTTTTTATGCAAAAAATATTTTATTTAAAAAATTAAAACATATTTACTTACAATTTTATACAAGGGATTTAGATTCATTTCAATATGTAAATAGTACATTAAGATAATAAAGACATAATGGGGTCACCAATTCGTTCACTACAGTTAAGTTCTAACTATGGTTGTTAAAATAAGCATGAGGTAGTGTTTAGGGGTGACAATCATGTCGTGTTCGTATTGACTTATATTACTCGTGAACTAAAAAAAAATTAACATTTAGATTTAAGTATAAAATTTTTTTATCACTTAATCGGATCAATTCTCATACTTTTTCTATAAATTAAAAATTAACTTAATAAATATCTATTTATACTATCAATAAAAATACCATAACATGAAAACCTTTTCATTCACTATTTTACCCTTATAAATAATTTTAAATACCACAATATCCTTCCATTGTTAAGTATCCAAATTACCATCACATCTTTATGTGTTTAAATCTCTAAATTACCCCTGACGTTTTTTTTTTAAAATTTTCTATTCTCTATGTATAAATATTAATATCTATGAAACTTTTTTAATTGACTATTTTACCCTTTAAAAATAAGCATTGACTAGAATATTAATAATTATTGTTATTTTATTCGATGAATTCTAAGTTAAAACCTAATCAAATGAATTTCAAAATAAATTATTTTTATCTTGTTTTTATAGTTAATTTAGATACACATTCTTAAAACTTTTTTACTAATATTTTTTATATATAAATTATTCACGTGCAACGCATGGGGTGCATGATTAGTAAAAATAAAAATGAGTAAAAATATATTTTCTTGTATAAGAATTGTGTCACTATTTAATAAAATATAATAAAAATTAACACTTTATTCTTATAATACTAGTTAAACATGTTAATCATGTTAAACATGTTATTATTCGTGTTAGTAGTTCGTGTTATTTACGGGTTCGTGTTGAGAAATGACTAACCGTAACCTATTAATTTCAAGTCGTATCAGAATTTGCTACCATCGGTGGTAGGGACATTATACATAATAAATGGGTGATATACTCTTTAATAAATAGTGACATTTTACTTCATTATACATTATACATAATATACATTAGTTCTCAAAAGATGTGTTTGGCAACATGAATTTAGGTATTGGAATTGGAATGGAGGAGAGGTTAGTTTAGAAATTGAACTTATTTATGTTCAATTCCATATCCAGAGTCCGGGACTCCAAGCCCCAACAACTCTAATAACTGGCAGGAGCCGAGACATGGTAACATGAATCTGCTCACTTTCTAGTTTCCTTTGTTTTTATTTTCCCAAAGAGTCATTAGCCGGCCTTTGTAATCTGAAAACTTCCATCTCTTTTCTGTATTTGCTAATGAAAATTTTGATGTTTCATGCATATCATTTCGCATATAAAGTGCAAATTCATTCTCGAATGTCTCAATTTTAATGTAATTAGCAGTACACGACTGCTTATTTCTTATCCTTCTCTGTTGTTCTGTACTCACCAGGTATTGATCTCAAACAGGTCGACAAATGTATAGGAGATCCCAAGGCAGATGTAGACAATCCTGTTCTTAAGGCTGAACAGGAAGCACAGGTTTGAACCCTTGGAACAGACAATTATTATGCTTCTTGTAGCCTTGATGTCTCAGGAATCTCTGTGATTTGCTGATTTTGGATTTCCTTGCAACTTTGGTTGTAGGTCAGCAAAGGCTCCCGTGGAGATTTGATCATCTTGCCAATTCTTGTCGTAAACAACAGACAGTATATAGGTACTGAACATGAAAGCCCACACCCCACCACCCATCCCCGGGATAGGAACTCCGAAGAGAAAAGAAAACTTTCACTGAATCTATTCTTGAACTATTTTTTGGCTTTTTGAAGGCAAACGGGACAAAGGAGCAGTTCTCAAGGCCATCTGCTAAGGATTCGAGGAGACTACAGAGCCAAGCCCTTTGTTTAACTGAAGGTCATCCCTTAATCTTTGTCTACATCCTAGTTCTGTTCCTGTTTATCCTGACTCCAAAGAAAATGGGAAAGGAAACAATTGAGTGCTAGTTTTGTTCCTTTCCAATTGTACTGAGGGTTTTTACCATTTCTTTTCTTTTCTTTTTTTCAATCACATGCATAGAAAAAAACGCAATGCTTAGAGAACAATGCACGCTCGCCGGGGTGGGGAGGGGGGGGGGGGGGTGCTATCAGGATAAGACCGCCAATATAGCTACATGCAAGGTAATTGGAATGCTCTATTTTTGTCTGTCTGAGTTTAGTCTCATTTCATGCCACTAATCCTTGTCTGTGAATGCCAAATAGTGGAGGGTGTACAGTTTGTTAGTGACGGCCATACTCACTGTCAAGGAAACATTATATATTTGGATGATGACATTTGAAATTTCTAACTACATCATGCATGCCTGTGATTTGTAGCAGATCATGATGCATGTTTTGTGATTCTGGCAATTGGACTAGTGAATTATGCATGGGTGAAGTTTATATTTGCATGTGAAATAAATAATGGAGGCTGCTGGAAAGGAACCAAGGATGGGAGGACCTACTCTGCTTGCATAGAAGGGAACTTTCACAACTGCAAGGATTTATAAAATATTCTCCAACTTGATAAAATAATATTTGTTCCCATTGCAAGTTTTTCTTGGTAAGTAAGAAAGTACTAAAATAATGCTACAATCCAAAGTTTACCAAAAATCTTAATAAAATAATGGAAAACTTGTTCTATGAATAGGGTTTGGCCCCCCCAATAATAAATCCTGATTCCGTCCCTGCCCCTGAATCCAACTTGTGACATTTATGGGTAGTGAGTTTGTTTAGAAGCTATATGTCATCTTCTTACACTACTAATGGTTGGGACCATGAGTGTCTTCTCTATGATGTTTTCAGATGCGTACGCAGACAGAATCGTTGGAGAGAAAAAACCTAGGACTTCAGTGGATAAAGGGCCTTCTATGACAAAATTAAGTGGCTATAATTCTAAGAGGCGGGAGTTTGAAATTGAATATGATAATGATGCCGAGTAGTTACTGGCGGACATGGAATTTAAGAATACAGACACTGATGCTGAACGGGGACTGAAACTGCGAGTCTTGCGAATATACTCAAAAAGGTAATCAGTTCATTCAGTTGTAGTTTCCTTTTCCTGTTGTTCCTTTTCTTCCTGTTTCTTTTATATGTGAGAAATCATGATACAGCTGAGGCTATCAAAGGGTCTATGTTTACAATTTGTAGATAGGTGGTGGGATGAAACAATCTGATGGTCTGCCATCTGGCTGAGACGACTGGTGTTTAAGGGGAAACTCACTCCCAAGCCGTGGTTGGAGATTCTTATTTTAGTCCCTGGGATATCAGCGCCCTAATATAAGAGTTTGAATACAAATTTTATGATTTCTACAATTATGCCATTTGTTGAAAATCTTTGATTACCTTTTATGTTAATCGGCGGAAGGATTTTATACTGGAAAGAAATTTACTTCATCCTGACCCTTTAGAGAAAGACCTCTCATCAGAAGAGAAAAAAAAATGTTAGCGGTACAGGGTGTTCATGCGCATATCGTGATTTATTTTGAAATTTATGGTACTATCTGTTATGGTAACAATATATTTATAAGACTACAATTCTGAAATTTCATTTGAAATAAAAATGAATTTTCTAATAATTTATGAAGGTCTGCAAGTTTATCCACCTAGAATTTTAATGTTTGTGTCTGCCCTGCCTTGCTCGTATATTTGTTATTCATTTGTACTATGTTACCTGTTCCCACCGTATTAGGCCAAATATTTGTCTTTGTACTACTACTCAGAAGTTTCCTTCCTGTGTGTTTTCCATGTTCTCAGTAATTTAATGCCATGAATGTACGATTTTTTGAAAAAAAAAAAGTCATATTTGTGCCTTCCAAATATTGTTTTTTTTTCTTATTTGTCATATTCGCCTGACTGACGTACTTTAGTGACCTCTTTTTTTGGTTCCTTCCTTGCTTATAATATAATTTCTGAATATCACGGATTCTGGTCATACTGGAATTACAGCCTTAATGTGGAGTTAGAACTGGTTGGGTTTCCTAGTAGTCTACATGTTAGTGTTACCTGGTTGGGTTTCCTAGTAGTCTTCATGTAGATGGTAACACTAGTTTGAATAAGAGGACCAAAATTTGTTGTCCACAAATGGATGAATAAACTTTTGGTCATGATTTCTTTCTTTTAAAAAATTCCTTGGGACTGACATAAGCACTTTCAGTTATATGATTGTTTTGACTTATTGAGGTACTCGTTGTGATTTTCTTTTTTGGTCAAACAAAGGTGTCTATCGTCTGTTGTTCCTTACATTGGGTGGGATCCAAAAAATTGTCTTACAAATGTATGCCATGTTTTTATTTGTGTACCTCTAATTTTTTGCGTATATATATTATTTGTCCCGTAGCTAGCATATCAATAACCATAATTTTGAAGGATGCTCGAGCTGCTGGCTGTTGTACATCTGCTGAGGCTGAAAGATTTATTGAGCAGAAGTGAAAGAAGGAAGCTGAAGAAACTGCCCGTGGAGTGAAGGAGAGTTCCCAGCCTGGTCCGAGTGGTAAATTCCTCCAAAGGGCAAATAATCTCAAAGAAGAACTTGATAGCAGTGCTCAGGGAGGTGTCACAAATATAGATTCTGGTTGCAAGGACTCTTCTTCAACAACTGCAGGACTAGCTATTTCAAACTCCTTAAACAATTGGGATGTCATCAGTTTTGTGGGGGCTAATTTACTCTCTGAAGCTGTGAGAATGCTGCTTCCACTTTCTATGTCTATAACCTAAAAGTTGTTTGCTCCTTCTTTGCGACTCTGATACAATGCTTTTATGGGTAATTATTGGATATTATAGTGGTCTAGACCCCAATTGACAATGTCACTAATGAGCAAAGTGTCTTTACGACCGGTTTAACTCCAATATGATGTTTGTGGATGGGAGTAGGGTTCCAATAATGATACCATAAATAACTTTTGGAAGCAAAGTGTTTTTTTGAAGTTTTAGTGTAAGTTATGACAGATTAAAGTTCAATAGCATTTTTGGGGTTGGGGGGTAGAAAGATGAAACCATATCTAGTAGATGTTCTGTTTCGGTACTATTTGTTGATTCTTATTCATATTAATCTTCGATAGTGCGTTGTGGTTTGTACGTGCAGGAAAAACAGCTGTGTGGAGAAATCAAGATCCTACCAACACATTATTTGAGCCAGTTGGAAGCCATGTCAACGGGGATTTTAAAGGGCAATATTACCAAGAAATCCGAGGCACATGGCATGTTCAACCTTGATCCAAACACGGTGGATAAAGTATATGATACGCTTGTGAAAAAGGGTATCACTCAAGCGCGACATGCAGCCAGCCTGCAATTTTGTTCGAGAGCTAATGAGTCCTGGTTTCTAGAAAGGTAAATAGTGCCCTTGTGGTCCTGAACACTGTAAAAATTTTGTACTCAGCAATTAATATAGTGTAGTGACCTTCAACAAGACCCAAGATTTGTTGTGGAAGTAGAGAAAGTATTCATCGCAATGGTGATGTCATGCCTTTATTAACACGTGATATCACTGATCAATCATAATGCCAAATATCTCATTTAATCCAATGTGATAGTAATTCAATGTGGCGGTTATTAGAACATCCTTATCCAAAAGGGGTGGGGGTGGGGGGGGGGGATTAAATCTTGAACAAATTGGTGTCAGTTAAGTACAAAATGTCAAGTTAGATGATTCACAAACTGAGCATATTATTTAGTAATACTTTTGAGTGTTATGTTACCACTTACTTCATGTTATTTTTTTCGATTGTCGGGTACCTTTTTTGAATTACATTTTTTGTATATTTCATATATTTTTTTTTGTTCAGAGAAAAGAAATTAGGGGCGACCATTTATTAGTAATCCCTCCTAACCATGATTATGAGTGTTTTTTCTCGTAGAATATCTGATTTAAGACATAATTATTAACTCAAAAAAATAATCCGTCATTACAAAACTACCAAAGTGAAACAATACCACCAATAATGTCGGCACTCTGGCCTCTGTCATTGTTTCTTGTCGTACATTTATCAGAATTGGGCCTACATTAGCCTGATCCAATTAGATCATGGATGACTCTCAATTGGCTTTCTTGCAGCCTCAACAGATTACCAAAGAATGCGAGATTTAGTTTGAATGCTTGTATAGGAGCTGTTTAACTGATGGCTAATTTATTTTGGCATACCTTATGATGACCATGGATTTTAGTTTGGACCTCTTCGAGAGCCTAAAACCCTTTGGGTTCATTTAAAATGACCTAAGCGCCTCGTCCAAACAGCGTTCGTTGGGCTCAAGCTGGACTGTGGCCCAGCCCTATAGAAGTCCGTAATAAACGAGCTCAGAATAGGTGGCAATTCGATATCAACGAGCTCGGTATAGATACCAGATCGGGAATTGGGAACATGACACCAAACTATTCACCAAAAGTTGTATCGCAACACGTTGACACGAGACAGTACCTAATAAGCCTAACGATTGAATACCCATTGGTAGTGGAGATGACTAACATATTCCATTCGAGGAGTAGTGGGTGTAGGAAATTGTCAGGAATGACAGACTCAACAATAGGACAATTGAAGGGGGATCACATAATCAATCAAAAAAAGAATTACCACGAAACCCTAATGATAGGATGTATAAATAGCTATCAACACCACAGAGAAGGGCCACGACACGGCCCATTGATAGATTAGAAGACCATAGCCGTCGTATTTCCTTATCTTCTCTGCATGATAACAAAAACTTGTTATTCAAAGCTTCAATGGTCCCTCCTATATTATTTATAATGAAAATTTTATCAAGCAAATTGTGAGGATCATTTGAATTTTTTTACTTGGGAAAGACATTATGTCACGGGGATGACTTGACTTAGAGTTGGATCTGGAGTGATTCCAACAATTAAGAAGGCGAAATGGACCTATTTTGTTGTATGCAGAAGCTAATCTATGAAGCAAATTCTATTCATTGGTGTTGGTAGAAGTAACATCTGAACATGGGCTTTCCCACTTATTCATTGGTCTAACTAAGGGCCTATTTGGTAACTCTCTAATTTCCTTTTTATTTTTTTTGTTTTTTATTTTTTGCAGAATTGAAAACCACAACATGTTTGGTAACTAATTCTCTTTTATTTTTCAAGTGAAATTGTGTTCAAAACAATAGTTGTTTTAATTTGGTTGGAAACTAAAACAATGTGAGCTTTATTGTTTAGGATGCTAAGAGGGAATCAAAGTCTAACAAAAATCATATTTTTCGGGCACAAATTTAATTATTACCTCTTCCCCTGAGATAATTAGGGGTGCAATGAACCGTTTGGTTAGACTTGAACTCTTATTGACTTTCTTTTGATCGTTAGATCATCTCCACTTGTCACATCAAATTTTATTATTTTGAGTGGAAACAATTGGTTACGACAATTATTTTGATTTGAGTGGTATAGAATTGTAACATACATAAAGTTTGATATAAGTTGGGCTATTGTTTTTTTATTTTTATTTTTATATAGTGTCTTCAGACACGGACAATTTCTAGTCATCAAATCTGAAGGAGCCATGTTTTTTGCTTCTATATGTTTTCAAGACTCACAATCTGGTCTCATTTGGAAGACATCACAATTGGGCCATTAAAACCTAGTCAGTTGAATCATGCATTAATGTGTCTTTTCCCTCTCAATAAGAATTTATTTAAACCTTATCAATTGTAGAGATAACTTGACTTAGCTGCATCAATGACTTGGCCAAAAATAAATTAAAAAAAATTATATTTTATAAGCATGAATGACGGAAGACCCTTAACCAAGATAAAAACCAATCATTTTGGATCTAATTAATTTTGCTATAATTCCAGCGCCCATCTCTTTGGATGAATTGACTATTGCTAGTCTTCTTCCACATTTGGAAGTTTGTGCGACAAGAACATTTGTAGCTCCTAAGAGGGCTTTTGAGCCACTGGTATTGACAAAAAAAAATAGGAAGAAACAGATTGCCTTAAATGAATCCATCTTCCATTTTTGTGATTTAAAGTTAGCCCAATAATTTTAGACATGACCTATGAAATTGATGGATTTGGGCTTAATCTTAACGATTTTTTGGCTATTAAACAGGTAGATCCATTAGATACTTCAAAAAATGGATTGACATGAAGTCGAATAAATATGACATAAACAGTAGACCTACTAAACATGTGATATGTCATGAATCCGACACGACATGACCCATTGATAGGTTAAAAGACCATAGCAGTCGTCTTTCCTTCACTTCTCTGCATGGTAACAAAAACTTATTATTCGGAGCTTCAATAGTACCTCCTATATTATTTGTAATGAAAATTCTATCAAGCAAACTGTCAAGATCATTGCAACTTTTTTGCTTAAGAAAGACATTATGTCAAAGGGATGACTTGTCTTAGGGTTGGATCTGGAGTGAGTCCAATGACTAAGAAGGTGAGGGGGACTTATTTCGTTGCACGTGGAAGCTAATCTATGCATATGGACAAAAACAACATTTCATGTGGGTCACTTCTGTTAAGAAATATAGGGTTATTTTATTTATTAAGGGTAGAATAGTATTTTACTTTCCCTACCTTGTTTAACTTATATATAGTCTCTTTGTATTTAGGTTAAATCATTCCATTGTATTCAATAAAATTATGCAGTATTAATAAAACCCTAGTCTCCTCTCTTTCTTATCTCTCGTTTGAGATTTTTTTGGCATCCACAGGGGCTTTAGGAAATTTGAAAATTTGTGATATTTCTGATTGTAGTGGATGTAAACTGGCAAAATTTTCAGTTTTACCTTTTAATTGAAGTATTTCTATTTCTTCTTCTCCATTTGATTTGATTCATTTTGATGTATGGGGACCTTCTCCTGTTACCACAAAATGAGGGTCTCGATATTATGTTTCTTTTATTGATGATCATACTCGTTATTGTTTGATTTATTTAATGAAACATCGTTCTGAATTCTTTGAGATATATACAGATTTTCGAGCTCTTGTCAAAACTCAACATTCTACTATTATCAAATGTTTTAGGTGTGATTTGGGTGGGGAATATACTTTCAATAAATTTGTTGAGTTGCTCGCCTTAGATGGAACTATTCACCAAATTTCGTGTACAAATACTCCTGAGCAAAATGATGTTGCTGAAAGAAAACATAGGCACATTGTTGAAACTGCTCGTTCTCTCTTGTTGTCTTCTTATGTTCCTAGTGAGTTTTGGGGTGAAGTTGTTCTTACTGCTGTAGGTTTGATTAATATAATTCCATCTTCTCATATTTCAGGTGTTTCTCCTTTCGAAAAGTTGTATGAGTATGCCCCTGATTATTTTTCATTTAGAGTTTTTGGTTGTACTTGTTTTGTTCTTCGTCCTCATGCTGAACACAACAAGCTGTTCTCTCGATCTGCTATTTGTGTCTTTCTTGGATATGATGAAGGTAAAAAGGGATATCGTTGTTTTGATCCAATAACTCAAAAACTTTATGTGTCTCGTCATGTTGTTTTTCTTGAGCATATACATTTATTTTTTATTCCATCCACTACTTATAGCTTGACTAGATCTGATCTTATTTGTATAGATCCTTTTTATGATGATTCTGATAGTTTGTCATCTCAGGTTTCTAATACTTCAAATACTAGCACTGATCATTCTACAGGTACTGACACTTTACTCTCTAACACACATGAAGCTACCTCCTCTCCTATGGTCCCTCAAGCTCCGTCTGAGATTGTGAATCCACCTCTACGTCAATTCACACGCATTCGTAAGTCCACAAAGTTAGCAGATTTTACTTATTCTTGTTATTCTTCATCTTTACTTCCTTTTTAGCTTCTATTCATTGTCTGTCTGAGCCCTCTTCCTATAAAGAGACAATTCTTGACCCTCTTTGGCAGCAAGCTATGGATGAGGAACTTTCTGCTTTGCATAAGACAGATACTTGGGATTTGGTTCCTCTACCTCCTGGTAAGAGTGTTGTTAGTTGTCGGTGGGTGTATAAGATTAAGACCAATTCTGATGGATCTGTTGAGCGATACAAAGCTAGGTTGGTTGCAAAAGGGTACTCTCAACAGTATGGTATGAATTATGAGGAGACATTTGCTCCTGTTGCAAAAATGACTACTATTCGTACTCTTATTGCAGTTGCTTCGGTTCGTCAGTGGCATATCTCTCAACTTGATGTTAAAAATGCCTTCTTGAATGGGGATCTTCAAGAAGAAGTTTATATGACTCCCCCTCCTGTTGTTTCACATGATTCTGGGTATATTTGCAAGCTCAAGAAAGCGTTATATGGTCTCAAACAAGCACCTCGTGCTTGGTTTGAGAAATTTTCTGTTGTGATATCTTCCTTTGGGTTTACTTCTAGTAGTCATGATTCTGCTCTTTTT